TCCCTTGGATACTTTCAAAGTTAATAACTTATATGCTTAGCATTGACCTAGAATCTAGAATTAAGATTTAAAGTTAACTAGATAGAAATTCAATTAAAATCTAATGATTGCCAGGAATTTTATATTGTTAGTAAGTAATTATAAAACAAAAAGTACAAAAAAAAAAAAATAGATTTCAAACAGAAGTTATTTATTGCCCAAGTCAAGGCTGACATTCATAGAATTAAGTATAGAACTAATATTTAAAATTATACCTTTTGTTCTATAATAATTATTGTTTTTTTTAATTGAATTTAGACTCAATTAAGTATTGTACAAAAAATAAATGGTATAATTGTACAAAAAGAAAGTAATGTACAATTACTAATCTCTTATACATTGTTCAATAGTTAATAATTTAAAATTTAAAATTGAAAATATCAAATTCTTAAATTAAGTGGGAAGAAATTTAGAGAAAGAGAGAGCTATTCATTATTATATAACATATTATTATCATATATATATATATATATAACACTACACAATTACTTGAAATCTTTAATTTGATTTGAAACCTAATTTATTTATTTGAAATAGTCTGAAAGGTTTCTTCCAAAAGTTGTGGGTCATTATAAGAATAATTGATAGCAACCAAATTGGAAATGTAGATTAGAAGGGAAGAAATAGAGATTAGGGAAAGAATTTAGAAGAGAAGCAGAAGGAATGAAAAAGAAAAATCTTGGGGAGAAGAGAGATATTCAAGAGGAAAGACAAATATTTTATTATTTAGCAACTCAATATCAATTTATAGAGTAAAATTATATAGTCAATCTAAATACAATCCTATTTAGTTAAGGGTCAAAACTCCAATACAAATTAAACATCTATCAATAAGCTTGAAGGTTGAGGCATAAAAATGTATTTACCCATTAAATTGTGGTTAAAATAATATTTTGGGCCCTCAACTTTCTATTTTGTACCAAAAGTATCCCTAAACTTCAAAAGGTACTAAAATTGTCTTTGAACTTTAATTTTTAGTACCAAAATGGCCTTTCAATTAATAGAAATGCCAAGTGACATGCTAAATTGTCAAAAAATTCAAAGTTTTTTTCAAAAAATAATGATGTAAAAAAAATAATAAGGCGATGATGTAGCATTTTAATCTCTAACACTGATACTCACCGTTTCACTATCACTTATATACATCTTATAAATATAAAAAACCCTAAATCCAATCTCCAAGCTGTCAACCCCTTTTTCTCTCGATTTTTCCTTATCTTTGTTTTCGACGACCTCAACTTCTCCAATTATCTCAACCTCCACTAGATCACCTTCCACTCTTCTCCAAATTTCCAACTACCATCACCTCTTGAACACTCTATCATCTTAGAACCATCAATGTACTAGCACCTTTCAATTCTTCACCATTATTTTCTCCTCAATTTTCTTTGACTTCTTTACTTGCTTGAGAATTTCTCCCTCATCATCATCCTATTCATATCCTGGTGAGTGATGAAATGGAGATTCAATGACATTAAGTGGCTCTTACCTACCATCCAATGTCACCAATAGCCACAATTCTATGCCCACTGGTGTAAGGTGATCTCTAACATATTCTCTAGTCTCCTTATTCATGTCTAAATCCAGTGCGCTTTCAAGGGTTGTTTGCCTTCTTGAACCTTTGACTCCTGGATTAGCAATTTTGAGAACCCAAATCTGGGGTTGAGAACGTAGCAAATTGGTAAGGAAGGAAGAGAGGAAGAAGAAGAGAGAAGAGAGAGAGAAAGAATAAGAATAAGAAAAAAGAGGATGAGTAAGGAAAGGAAGGAGGAAGGTTGATAGAGAAATGAGGAGTCAAATTATTGAAGGATTGAGAGAAAAGAAAGGAGGACAAAGATGAAGTTTTTTTTTTTTTTTTTAGGGTTTGAATTGGTTAGAAAGCTATGAAATATGACTTGAAATGATAAAAAAAAATGCCAAATCATAAATAAAAAATGATTTGGAATTTTCATATGGATTTTTTTGGCAATTTAATTGCCACTTGGCACTTTTGTTAACAAAAGAACCATTTTGATATTGAAAATAAAAGTTTAGGGATAATTTTGGTACAAATGAAAAGTTGAGGGACCAAAATGGTACTTTAGCCTTAAATTGTTTAATTCATCACGTTTTGTAAATTGCACTACCAGAGAGGGGTATTTTTCACATTTATTTCCAATTAAAATAAAACAAAGAAAAAGAAAGGTAGGGAAAAAACATCAAAAATGGAGGCGCATCTGATTCCAAGTCAACACACACGATATAAAGTAGATGCCGGGACCATCCTTCGCAAAGCATGCTATCGCCAACGTTTTGACCAAACCCTGTGCGATTCCTTTTCTGTGCAACTTCCTTTCCTCACCTCTCCTCCTGTTTTGTTCCCTGTCTTTTTTCTGAAACTCAAAACAAAGAAGGCAAGTTGTTCCAAACTTTCTATTCAAAAACATCAACGGCTTGATATCTGGTGATTTCTGTTTCTATTCCACCGTTCAAAGTTTTAATCTTCAAACCACCCAAAGAAACCCTGCCAGCAATGGATCAATCTCCCAAAACTCAAAGCAAGGAAAGAAAAACAAGTGGGTTTTTCATCCGGTTCTTTCTTTCTGCCTCTTTTCGTTTTCCCTTCTGTAAGCTCTGTTAAAGTTTGGTTTTTTTAGAAAAGGGTGATTTAGTTCTGAGTTGGTATTTGGTTTTTTCTTGGATTTTGCAGTCTACCCTAAGGTGAAGGTGAGGGAACAGGATCAAGATGATGGTGAAGAACTATATGATCAGAAAAGACTAAGAGGGTACTTGATGTCTTTGAAAGATGTTCAGTATCTGTCCTTGCATGATCCTGGTAATTTTGATTCCTATTTTGATCCTCTGCTTCAGCTCCTTGTGACTTTGTTCAATTTCTGATTCTGTTATTTACAAGAACAAAAGATACCTGTTTAAAAAGTTCCTTTTCCCTTGGAATGATTGATAAATTTGTTCATTTATTCATTAGTAAAAATTGATAATTTTGATTTTTGAAATTAAGAAAAAAGGTTTTGGATATCTAATTGTAAGATTGGATAAATAGTTAAAACTCAACATAGCGGATGGTAGGTAGTGAATTGTTAGTATAGTTTGATGTTTGATTAATAAAAAGGAGAAAAATGCAATAAAGTCCTTGTTCCAAAACAGTAGCGTTGTCCTGGTGTTAAACCTAGTCCTTAACAACACATATATATCATTTGCAGCAAAAGAAAATCATTTTGTGTCCCCAAGGCTGGTAGCAAGAATTTCCAAGTCCTATGTACCAGATTTGGTGAGGGATTCAGTTTCTGCAGCACAAGGTAGGAGTTTTTCCTTATATGATTCATAGCAAACTTCCATAGGCTTCCATGTATTTAGTTCTTCTTATGAATCAGTCTGCCTCTTTTGCAGGAGTAGAAAACGATAACAAAGGAGATCAAGAGGAGAATAGACCCAATATTAGAGTCAGTTCAATCCCACGCCCGAGGGCTGTCTTGTCGAGTCCTGGTAACTCACTCCATCTTTGCTTCACTACTAAATGGAAGTTCTGTCTTTCTCTGTGTTTCTTCTCCTGATCCTTTATCAAGATCAAGTAGCTATTGTAGTTTGGCTAAAATTTACTTTCATTCACCTAGTGTTTAATGCTCTGTACCAACAACGCTCTTCTTTTGTGGTAGATGGAGGGAGGAGCCAAATTATGTAATGGTTTTCTGGAATAGAATGTATTTGCGGAGTGAATATGGCAAAATAATTTGGTTCTGGGGCATAATTTCAGTTGCATTTGTTTCCTGTGCATGAATGAGTTTGGATGTTAGTCTGTTTACATGCTACATTTTTCTCTGACTTGTGGTTTTTTTTGTGATTTGAATTTAGACAATGATGAGGTGATTGGAAATAGAAACAAGATTAAAGCTGAACATGCACCAGCTGCAAAGAATCACAATCAGGGTATTGTTCAAAATAGACACACAATCCGAGGCCACAGCTGCTCTGGAAACACTATTAACTCAAGGAAGTCCAAGGATTCTGCTGATTGCAATGTTAATCTTTCAGAAAAGAAGGATTCAGGGATGAGAGTTTCTAGTCAGAGAAGAAAAGTTAAAACTCAAAGACCAGCCTGGCAAGATCCTTAGACGATTTGCCGTTCTGATGATCAGCAATTACACACGTAATGGATTTTACTGATTTAGAGAGTTGTTTCCTTTTTCCTTTTTAGATCTTTCAGATATGGAGATGTGGAGATAGATTACACTTTTGTTACAAACTTCTAATTGTACTCCCACAAGATAATTCAAAGAAGCTATCTTATGCCATCCGTAAGTGTTTTTTCCTTCTCTTCCATCTCCTGATATCATTCACACTGCGGCTAGTAACATTTTAGGATCAAGGAAAAAGATAACATTATATCAGAAAACACAGGAGAAACAGAGAAGGCAGCCAATGCCATGTATTGTAATTTGTATGCGCTTTTTTAAGAAAATAAGTTGTTCATTCCCCTCCCTGGTACATTGGACGAGCCAAACCCAGCATAAAACTATACTTGCGTTCTTAGAAAACATGTGACATGCATCTCTTCTAGAAATAATGGTTTGACAGCTTCTGAGGACTTTTGAGATCCTTTCTAATCTGTCACTGTCTAACCATAATTAACAGCTAGCTAATCAGCAAGTTTGTTAGGTTCTCCATGAACATGAGAACTAGTGAGATTCCAATTCTGGTTCAACACCTTGTGCCATCTAAAGTCTGCTGTATGGATCACAAAGCCTGAATGAGTAAAATACCATCTGTGGTAGTGTGCCAGCAAATGGCAAGATTAGCCAAAATAGCTGCAATTCTAACATTGATATCAGTAATATAGTCAAATCAGTCTCAATGTAAGCTACCATCCAAACAACCAAAATTAGCTTTTGCAAATTGACAAAAAGGCCGAATCTTCTTGGGAGATCAACAATTCAAGTATAATGCTCACTTGTTGGTACAAAAAAATACTAGTTTTTCATAGATCATAGTATTTTTCCTGGTCTACCCATCCCAAATTGCTACAAGCAGAGAGAACACCAATAAAAGTTATGTGATTGGGCTTAATATCAGTCAATCTCATCTGCTCAAACATCTCTACAGCTTTCTCACCATTACCATTGTGTGCCAATCCACAGATTACTGAACTCCAAGAAAATAAAATCGTGCAACTACATGGAAGAGAATTCCAACAAAGCAGAATGCAAGTTTCGACATCTAGAATACATAGCAACCATTGCATTTGAACCTGTAGCAAAAAGATTCAGACCTGATTTAATGACATGTGCATGACTTTGTTTTCCAAAGTCTAAGGCTGGCAGATTCGTACCAATTGTGAATGTAGCTTCATCAGGGGATTGACCTGACTCTGAGGCTTTTAGATTTGGGAATGTTGTGAATGTTTGGTTCTCTACAGAGAACTCTGAGGCTTTTAGAGAGAATTTTCCTTTAGCCTTGAAAGTTGAAAGTTGGGTTAATTATGTTCAGTAATATTATTGCGATGATTTATTTCAACAAACATTATGAACCAATCATATTCACAAAAAATAAAAATAAAAAAGGTATAGTAAATTGGATGAAAAATACTTCTTCTTGCATAGGCACTCAGAATAAATGAACAAAACTTGTACTTGCACTCTATACAAATATAAACATCATGTTCAATTCTTTTGAAAACTACAACAAAAAACTTCAACTAATGAACTCAGACATCAAATTTGCAGGAGTTTGGAACAATCCAACAAGGTAATGGGTGGACATTCTCCGATTCAAATCCATAAATTTGCGAGCAACTTCCATCTTCCAAGCTGTATATTCCATTGTCGTGTCCATAACTCCACCCTTTAAACAACATGCGAATCCAGTAATCATCAGTAAAGTAAATTGAGTTTCTTTTACAAGTTGGGAGGTCTTTCGTGGATATGGAGATTGAATGGTTTCCTCCAAGAAACAAGGATCGATCCCCCAGAGAATTCAGCTTTACCCATTGCACCCCATCCAAATCCAACTTGTAAAGCCGAAACTGTTCTGTTCTGTATAAGCAGTCGTCAAGAATCTCTTCTCCTTCACGAACAAACTTGTCAACTAGAATAAACTTCCCTTCCGATTCCACCAAGTAACTACTTCGAATGTTGCACAGCTCACCATCATCATCTCCAAAGGAATTTGCTCCCTCAGAAATAGCAGGGGTGACTTCCATTCTTTTTACAGGTGGATGACTTTGTAAATCCCAAGCACGAATGCCTCGATTTCTGTCTACTGCATAGAGCATGTTGTTGAAGCAGATGATATCTTCGTACCCATGAAAAACTTTTCCCGACCAACTGTTGTCAAATTCAGTCCACGACTTGTCTCCATTCCTAAAGTATCCAAGCTTGTGGCCGTTGTTATTGTAGATTAAAACCACACAATAATCTCCAACAGGTTCAGCCGATAATATTGCTTTGGAGACGAAAGAATGCCGCAGACATTGTAGATCTATGTACTTGGACTGCTTCCCGAATTTAACTTCATAATCACCACAGTCTGTTTGATATATTTCTGATATGTTGAAGAGAGATTTCAGAGAGGGAAGCTGGATTTGGACCTCGGTGAAAGGGTTGAAAAGAAAGGGGGTGAAAGTAGTATGGTCCAGCAAAACCAACCAGCCGTTTGAGGACCCGATGCAGGGGAACTTGAAAAGCAAGTCGGACGTTTTCTTCTTCAGACAGTAAGCAATGTTTTCCTCGATGTTCTTGAAGCGGCAAGACTGCGTGTCATTTTCTTCTTCTTCATCTTTAGGAGGAAGCAAGAGCCATGGGGCTTTCTGGAGGCGAGAACAGGGGAGGGATTCTGCAGAGGATTTCCAGGAGGAAGAGACAGCTTTTGTCCGAGCAATATCAATGAGAGGAAGACGTTCGAAGATGGACTCGAAGACAGCCCTAGGAAGCACTACCTCTGGATTGTTTCTTCTTCTTTTGTTGTTGCAGCAGGGAGTAGAAGTAGCGTAGGGGTTTGTTCTCTTCTTCATGTTGAAGCAACGAGGCTATCTGAGTAACGTGGCTTTGAAGACTATTTGTGGGATATAAATAAGGGTGAAACCATATATATATAATACCAAAGCTCCTAGTTTCCTAAAAGGAGTAGAATTTCTAATTTAATTAAACTATTCCTAATTTTTCAATGAATAGAATTCCTAATTTAACTAGACTACAACTATAATAGTGTTTTTAGAGGTACATTCTTATTGATTATCCTATAACAAAAACTCTTAATTTTTGAAGGAATTGAATTCTTAATTTAATTGGATGGAAACTACATTTTTTAATTTTTTTAAAAAAAGAATTTTTAATTTAATTAGATTATGATTATCGTAGTCAACTTAAAGGTAAATTCCCAATAATCATCCTATAACAAAACTCCTAATTATCAAAGAAGTAGAATTCCTAATTTAATTAGACCATGACTAAAGTAACATACTCCGAATAATTTCCTGAGGGGGAAAGAAGTCGTTGTATGTAAACAAGGCAGCAACGGTTATGACAAAACTTCCACTAAAAGGAGTTGCTTTTAAGACGACCCAGTCCATCTTGTTTGGGCTTTTTGGGTCACCTATCTTTCACTTTAAGTGGGTTAGGTCAGGCCCTGGTTCTACTTGGATGGACTAATTGAATTTTTATTTTATTTTTTTCGAACCTCCAACTAATATTTTATTTTAAGTTATAAGACGTACGGTAGGTAAAAGTTTTTTTTTTTAAAGTAAAACAGTAAAAGACATTTCAGGTTTTATTTTACTTTGAATATTAAAAATAATTAATATTTATTAAGTATTTAATAAATTAAAATTAGTGTATACACATTTTTTTGTGAGAAATATAACTTCATTAATATATAAAAATCATAAAAGTTAAAAGACTAATCCAAATAAGATAATATGCTGAAGATATTATAGTTATAAAATACATCAAAATACTAAATTAAATAGTCTAATGCTTAAATAAATATTGCAGTTAAATTCAATATCAAGATTTAACAATTAAGCAACATTCTAACATAATTCATCTAAATAGAAAATAAATTAATTAGGATGAATGCAAATATATATATATATATATATATTGTGTTTAAGTTGCTATCTTTTTTAAATAAAAGTGAATTCTAATAAAAATATCAAGAAAATTAAGACAAAACTCTTAAAAAGAAGAAAAAAACCTTCACGAGAGAAAATCCCTCATAAGAGAATAGAAAACACCTACTTTTAACCATTCATACCATACTAACTGTCAAGGGGAAGAGAGATAGCAGCTATTAGGAGAAGAAGAAAACAACAGAAGGAGGAGAAAATCAGGATGAAAGAAGGAAGACAGATATCTTTCTATATCTTAACTAACTATTTAACCAAAATAATAATAATTTGAGAAAAAATTACTAACTATTTAACCAAAAAAATAATTTGAAAAAAAATTATTAAATTCTGTAGCCATAATAGTTTGGCTTGTGGTCATAACCACGTCTACCATTTTTCTCGCATAAACATAAAAGCGATTTGCAAGTATGTCATGTAAAGATATATCATATGGATCTTTTCATATTAAAGTAATTTTTATTAATAATTAAAAAAATACATTTTGTGTTTGCTAAATTGTAAAATAATTATGTGTAAAATTAATATGGACAAAATGAAGAAAAGTGTTTACAATATAAATTATACAATTTAAATGATTGAGATGAGCCTTTTTACTTTTGAAAATCATACAATTACTTCTTAGCATCATATTAAGGGTTATTCTCTAATTTTAAAATTATCATTATTTTTACAACATAATCTATTTGTAAATAAAGAATTTATTGGAAAAGGTTTAGATAAAGCAATTGATTACTCTATACATGGAGTTTCTCATTGTATTCGAATTCGAGTTATCATCATTTCTTCATTTTCTCACAAATGTAACTATGTTACAACAAAAAGAAAAAAAAGATATTTGTTGACAAAAGTGTTCTACTAGTAATAAATTTGTAACTAATAAAATCATCATTTTTGTGGTTTGAAATATCTCATATCATTATTTTTAATTGCGCTAGAAATGAAATTAAGGCCTCCATCTCTCCGAAATTCTCAAATTCATCATCCACGGTTTTTAGAAAAGAAAAAGAAAGAAAGAAAAAAATTTCAATCAAACAAACGAGTGGCTGAGTTAACTCGGAACAGGTATCAACTTGACTCAGAGCTCACTTTCGCTGCCACTTAACTTTCGTGTAAAATATTTTCGGCCCCAGAGCAAGAGAAGCGATTTACCCATCACGGGTTTGTTCCAATTTTAATTTTTATTGATTTGCTTTTCCTTTCTGGATATTTTTCGATATTATAGTTGTGGGTATTCAACAAATTTCCGTTAAATTTTCAGAACGGAAGAGGTTACCATGGCGGCAGCAGCAGCAGTGATCAAGAAGTTCTTCCTTGCGTCCATGTTTATGTGGGTAGCTCCTATCGCAATTCTATATGGTTTCAACCATAATCTGATTCCTGGTAAGGACATCATGCTTTTCCTGAGATTAATTTTGATATTTTGGATTTTAAATTTTAGTGCTTTTTCGTTATATGTTACATTTTCTGCTTTAAATTATGTTGGGTTGATTAATGAATTAAATTTTCCCGGTGCCCTGAATTAGTCTATCAAGATTGTTCTCCATAAGTTGAGTATAAAGTAGTGAAGTTATTCGGGGTTTATATTGGGAGGAAGAATGGGTTTGATGTGGGAGATTGAGAGGTTGGGGTATGGAAAATTGGAGAAGTTGAGAAAATTTGGAGGCTATTGATGTTTAAGAGAGCTTGATCACTTGAATATGTCTTTTGTTTTAATGCACTTCAAGATTCTGTTTTTGATTAGTATTGAATCGATTCAATTATGTTGATTGTACTAAAGTACTAGAAGCATAAGACCTTGGGGCTTGGAACTAAGAGGAAAGGCTTTGCCTTGAGTAATGGGATATATTTTATCCATGGTGCCCCATGGGTGGGAGAAAACCTTGAATTCTGACCAAAAAAGAAAGACCTTTTCAAAATGGCAAGCCAAAATATAAGCAAAGGCAGGATCTTTCTCAATGTCTAAGGTTCTAAGTCAAAGGCATTAATGACTAGTATAAGCAAATCTTGTTTATAAGTCTTCTCTTGTAATCTCTAGGTATGGCCTCAAGGGGGAATTTGGTGGATAGAGTCTATTTTACTTTTATCCCGCAATCTGTTAGATGGTTGGCAGGGTTGCACAGAGGTTTGTGGAACTCATTTCAGCCAAAAACTTTTGAAGATGCATTTCGTTCCTTTTAGAGGCCTATTGTATCTAATATTATAATCTAGGAAATCATTCTGCAATACCTAATAAGATTTGCTATTTTAATCACAAGCTGGTTCATATTATTCTGCCATTGTGGTTTAATGCAAGTTGATTAAAACCTAGTCTTTTAATTTTAAATCTGTACATTTATGTATGTACTTATTCTATCACTTGTTCAGATTGTTGCAACTAAAATTTTATCAGATTGTGGTATAATCTGGGTAAAGAGTAACTGAGTTTTTATGCGCACGTTTGTTTCAGGCTATATTGTCCTATTAACTGAACCATTGGTTTTCATATGACAGGTTCAACCAATCTATCACCTTATTCCTTGACGCTTTTGAGTGGATTCCTAGCTGTTATATCAGTAAATATAGTCCTTGCATTCTACATTTATATGGCAATGAAGGAACCTTCGTATAAACATGAGCCAGACCCAAAGTTCCTTGCCGATGCAAAAGCTAGTGTAAAGAAGTTGACGGTTGAAGAAGCTAATGTGTCATCCCAATCACAAAAGAAACAAGAGTAGAACAAGCAATGTCTGGACCAAGGAACTAATAGGAAATTGGAATGAAACTAAAATGTTGTTAGTATCAATGCTGATCAGGCAGTGGCGGGTTTTGCTTTACTTTATTGTATAATTAGTCTTGTTATCCTCTTGAACTAAAGGTGTTATGCCCAAGTTTTGATTTGGATGTACCATTCTTGTTAGGAATTAATATACAGTTACTGGATGCTGATATACGTTCATTCTTTAGTAGTTTCTTTCATGATCCTATACTAACTCTAGACTACAGAACAAAATTGTTGGTTGGGGTAACGGCTTTCAATATCAAGGCTTCACTTTTTATCTAAAAATTTAAGTTGTGCAACTTAATTTGTACGATAATTTTCTTTTATTAATACATAAAATGAAAAAGATTAAAACTAAAAGGAAGTTTTTCAAAGCAAACTTTGATTTAGTAATCGAGAAAAATCTGAGATGATGCTTTTCATCTCATATGCTTTGAATTTGATTGCAATGGTTTGGAACAATCCAACACAATGGTGGCCGGACTTCCTCTGGTAACTCAATGTGACCTTGAACTGGCAAGAAACACCCATCTTCTAAACAATAAATTCCCATATCATGCCCACATGGATCATGTAATATCTGAACCCAGAAATCATCTGTGAAGTAAATGGAGTTGGGTTTACAAGTTTGGAGATCTTTTGTTGATATTGAGGCTGAATGATTAATGCCAAGAAACAGAGATTGGTCTCTGAGGGATTTCACCTCTACCCACTTCTTCTTTTTTATATCCAACTTATACACATGAAACAGCTTTGTTCTATGTGCAGAATTGAACAGAAACTCTTCTTCCTCGATAAGCCTCACAACAAGCAGAATCTCCCCTCTTGATTCAACCAAGTAACTCGAAAGAATACAATCACCCGCTTCATCATCTTCATCAGACATATAAGGATGATCAGCAGCAATAGTGATAATTTTTTTAGGACGACAACCCTGTAAATCCCATGTATCAACGACACCCTTCAAACTGTAGCATATTGCATAAAGCTGGTTTTTGCAGCAGATAATGTCATCATAATATCTAGTGCTACCTTCGATTTCGGTCCAGAAACTATCACCATTCTTATAGAATCCGAGACCTATCCCCAAGTCGCAGAGTACAACGACACCATATTCACCATATTCACCATCTGGTTCTGCAGTTAGAATAGCTTTTACTGCCCTTAAAACTGATCTTTTGACTCTTTTCAGGAGTGGTTCCAGCGAGGGTAGTTGAATTCGGTGCTCCGTAAAAAGGTTTAACAGGAAAGGAGATTGCGTGGTATCGTCCAAGAAAATCAGCCATCCGTGTGACGATCCAATGCATGCGAACTTGTAAACCAAATCCGAAGTTGTTTTCTTCAAATCGTAAACAATGTTTTCTTCCACGTTCATCAAGCGGCAGCTATCATCATCATCACCATCGAATTCGGCTTCTTTCGCAGGAGGAAACACGAGCCATGGAACTCGTTGGAGATAGGACTTGGAAAGGAGGACGACTTCCGCAGAGGATTTCCAGGTTGAAGACACAGCTTTTGCTCGAACAAGATCTTGTAGGGGCAGACGTTGGAATATGGATTCCAAGACATGGCTAGGCAGCACCAATTCTGGACTCTCTCCTTTTCTTACTCTGTTGTTGCGACTACTGGGTAGTGATCCATAGGATTTTGGTTTAGCTTTCGTCATGGCTGGCACTGCGCAGGTTAAGAGAGCATAGAGAAACAAAATTTTAGCCTGGCATGTGTATTATATATACCTACTTTAGTCTTATTAATAATCGAATTTCTTTTCCTTCCTAGGGCAGTACTAATTCTAGATTGTGTCTTGGTTTGTTCATGGGGCAAGTTAAGAAAGAAAGAAAGAAGAACACAAAAACTTAATGGTTTTAGCCTAGCACATTGTATTATACATTACACATACTTTCTCTAGTCCTATAAATAATCGAACTTCTTTTTCTTCTTAAAACTCCAATTCCTTTGCCATATAGGAAAAGGAACTCCAATTCATTTAGCTTTGCTTCTTATACCTTGTAAGGTTTATTTCTTAGGGAATAGAAATTAATAACTGTTTTCGAATAAAAAGTGTTTAAATTATAAATAATAATGAAAAAATTCTTGTGATTTAATGGTTTTTCTTTGTAAAGAACTTCTCATGTTAAATTTAATAGATGTGAAATTTGAGTTTTAGCTTCAATGTTCAAAAAAAATATATAAATAATGATGAGTTATAACTATTTTTTAAGCAACTAAAGAGGATATTTGGATTAATTATTTAAATATAACTAATAATCGATAGTTAATATTATAATTATTGTTATTTGTAATTACAAATTTTTATTTCATTTCATTAAAGACAATAATTGATAAATATTTTGTAAAACTCTAAAACAAACACTCTTCAAAATTGTTTGATTTGGCTGATAATGACAATCTATGACTGTTTTTATATAAGTAAAATGATGGTTAGCATGTTTTATAGGCTGATACTCTCAACTAACCACTGAACATTAGCAAGCAGTCTACTCCTTGCCAGTGCAATTACTTATATTCTTAGCCATAAGTATAGTTAGGATTCAATCCCTAGCCTCATTAAAAAAAAAAAAAAAAATTCAAACCAAACCAAATCAAAGAGGATCCAACTATTGCGCAAAGAATGGAATTGATAAAGGTAATTAGTTCTTGTTTTCAAAATTTCTCAATCTATAATATCAAAACAGAGGTTAGCCTCATCCCAAGGACCATTAATCTCAAGTTTGTACTCTTGAATCCTGATAAGCCAATAAAGGCACACTACAGTCACAAAAATGAATATCCCTAGAAGCAATACAAAGACCAAAGGATGCAGAACATGCAACCGAGCCAATAAGAAACTTTTCAAAGCAAACTTTGATTCAGTAATCGAGAAGAAGAATCTGAGATAATGCTTCTGATCTCATTTGTTTTGAATTTGATTGCGACCGTTTGGAACAATCCAACACAATAATGGC